GAAGTCAACGGATTTTCGCCGGAAGTCAACGGATTTTCACCGGAAGTCAACGCCGGAGTCAACGGTCAACGCCGGAAGTCAACGGTCAACACCGGAGTCAACGGGTCAAAAAAATATTTAAATAATTAAAATAATAAAGAGAAAAGATTAAATCTTAGCCACTCATTATGTACCAAATCTTGTGACTAGAAATGAGCCTCACGTCCTCACTTTAAGAATATGGATGCATTGGAACCAATCCCTATATATATATATAACTTCCATGTATCTAAAGGCCACTAATTAATTGTGAATATCCAACCATCTAGAAAAAATGAACGGAATCATTCGTCACGGGACCGTAGCTATCCCCAAATCTTCTTTGATTAAAAAAAGAATAGAGGGGATGGATAATAAAGTTGAAATGACAAATTTATAAGAGAAATAAAATTTAAAAAATTAAATTAAGGATGAAATTGTCTATTTCTACTCGATTAAAAACACTTATTATCCTTCAATTTTGGATTGGAGCAAGAGTAACGGAGGAAGGAATTATTATACTTCGAATTTTCCACCACTCCAAATTTAGAATAAAACGAAGGGAAATTTTTTCCTTCCCTTATCCTCCCCTTCTCTCCCATTAAAATTTGTCAAATCAAACAATCCATTAAAATTTTTTGGGTTTGGATAATAGTGTATTTAATTGAGAATTTTTTTAAAAAATAAGATATTGATTTGTTCGCTTGAAAATTCAAAATGTCTTTTATTGAACTAGCGCATATCCCATGCGACACATGGGTAAAACATAATTGAGTATGCATCATTTGGTCTACATAAGCAAAATAAAAATCACGTATTATTGAACATCATTGTACACGATATTGTTGGTTTTAAATCGGGGTAAACCAAGTCAACACATAAGATCGTCACCCATAATATAGTCAATCTACACCAAGCATGAAAGGAAATTTGACGATTACAGTGGAGGAGGAAAACATAAAGTCTGCTTTATTCAATATGCATCCAGAGAAAACCCCATGAGAGGATGATATGTCAACTCTTTTTTTTTTTTCAACCCTGCTATTCTTAAAAAAACTAATTTGTTCTTAACAGTAAAAATTTTCTTTGATTTTGGTAAAATGTTGAGGTATTGGAATCACACTCAGATTATTATGGTTCCTAAATATCCGTGTTTTGTTACCTTAAGTCAACGCAGGCCAATAATTTTATGTCGTGTGGTTTATAACATAATATCAATTATGGCTTTAAGACTTAGAAAATATCAGTATATGTATCTGTGAATCACATGCAGCCTTTGTTTAGGGAAGACAATTGTTAAACAATGTGATTCTTGCTCGTGAAGCTTTGCGTTGCATAACTAGACATAGATCTTGGATGAATTTTTATATGGTTTTGTGGTTAGAAATGATTAAAGCTTATGACATAATTGAATGGCATTGTATGAAGTTGATCATGCGGAAAATGGATTTCCACCAGGGGTTTGTAAAGTGGACTTGACTTCTATTTCTTCTACATCACTTTTCTTTAATTTGAATGGAAGTGTTTGTGGTTTCATATTTCTTACTAGAGGTTTGAGACAAGTGGATCCAATATCTCCTTACTTATTTATTATTATATCTGAAGTGTTTTCTTTTTTGATAAATTTTGCATTTGAAAGGGGAGGCTTTAATTTAATGGATTGAAATTGTCCATAGAATGGCTTCATATTTCTCATCTACTATTTGAAGATGACTCATTGCTTTTTTGTAAAGCTGATGTTCAACAAGCCTCCTTGCAAGTTGATCTGTTGGGGAACTATATCTCGTTCACAGGACAAAGGGTAAATATGGAGAAGTCGTCTATTATCTTTATCAAAAATATCTATGTCCAAGTGCAGGATAGGATTTTTGGTATTTTTTAGAGTATTAAAGTCCACACTTCTTCCAGATATAATTATCTCTTGGAATTGGAAGATCAAAGAACGAAGCCTTGATTACATTCCTAAGGCAGTAAGGAACGAAATTCTTAGTTGGAAGAATAAATTCCTCTGAGGTAAGGCGGTTCTGATCAAGGTTGTGCTTAATGCTCTTCCAATGTTTGTTCTGTCATATTTTAATTTACTTGTGAGTTTATGCAAAGAGATAACAAACCTTTATGACCATTATGTTGTGGAGTAAAGGGAATGAGCAGGGCAAATGAATACATTGGAGAGTTTGGAATCAATTAACTTTGCCTAAAGTAAAGGAGGTCTTGGTCATTCATGACATAAAACTCTTCAATGAAGCCGCTATGGAGGATAACAACTCAACTTGTTCTTTTGGTAAGCATAGTCCTCAAGAACAAGTACTTTCCTAACTCATACATATTTGAGGCCGTAAAAAGAAAATAATAATAATAATAATAATAATAATAATAATAATAAAAAAAAACAAAATTCATCTTGGTTATGTAATAGTTGGTTATATCTTAAATCTCTGTTTGAGAAATGGTTGAGGGTGGAGGGTCAGGAATGGACTCTACTGAGATTCAAGATCACAATTGGGTTTCACTCCTTGTGTAAAAGAGACCTAGACTTTCTAAGGAGGCTAGGAAAAATCTAGGGGTGGGCAAAAAACTGAATTTCTTGTACCGAACTAGACTGAAATGGTCCCGTTCATAATAATAAAGTTCCAAAAGGTTCTCTTTATTTTTTTCCCGTCCCTCTGAACCGTTCTAAACGATGTCGGTATCAGTTTTGAATATTTTTGTCCCGAACCGTCCCGTTTTATTTTTTTTCGTACAAAATAATATATATATATATATATTATACATTATTTTTGTATTTTATATTAGTATCGTAGTACCAATTTACATAATTAACATGGTCATTTCGGCA